ATCTAGTGCCCAAAGCGAGTCAAGCGCTGGGTCAATTCTTAAAACATTGCCCATGACAGATATAGACAATTAAACAAATTCAACTGGTTAAATCAGACCCAGTGCCCAAAGCAAGTCAAGCATCGGGTCGATTCTTAAAACATTGCCCATGACAGATATAGACAATTAAACAAAGAGAGTCATCTGCAACTAGAAATTAAAATTACAATCGTTGTATAAGTTAAATAGAACTACAAATGTAGAAAAGATAGTCATTATGAGCATTAGAAACTATTGAACATCCTCACCTATTTAACCAACTTCATGGGAAGAGTAAGAGATTCCAACAACAAACAGTTCCCAACTCACAAGTTGCCGCCCTATCTATTCTTAAAGAATAACAAACAGAAGGGGTATGGGCATCTCCGTACAAGCACAAGGCACCCTAGTCACCTTCATGTACTCCTAATCATGTTCCTATCTTTACCAATCCTCTTCAAACCTTTGTTGTCAAAGCTCTTTAAGGGAACTAGAGCCCCTTTGTCGGCTTAAATATCATGCTTCCCGTGTAGACCATAACTAGCTTCACCAACAACATCCCTTTCCTTTTGTATTCGGTTGCCTAAATGGAAACTGGAGTGAACAAGTTTCTCTAAATTTGACCCCCGCTGAAATCCCATCTAAGGAGATGTGCCAAAGTGGGGTTCTTACTCGTTGAATAGGAGAAACCCAATCCACCAACAAGATCAATTCCCTCGTTATTCTAATCGCAACTTGTAGATGTAAATATGCCGCTACCTTTTGGTCCCTTGGGTTGATGTTTCCAAAGCAAGATAATCGACTGAGATGCAGGAAGAGATCAAGAAGAGGAAGGTAGGGGTAAGAAGAAAGTAGGAATGAAAGAACTCCTCTATTGTAGAGAAATCCTAGGGTAGAAAACCCACCACCTTTGCCCTTAACCCTATGAACAATGCAAAAGAGCATCTTGGAGCAAGTTAAATCCAATGTCAAAACCCAACAAGAGAGTTTTTTTTTTTTCTTTATTTGTTTGAACAACCATAAGAAACAAGAGTTTATTGCTAAATTTCTTTATACATTATCATCAAGCATTAACTGTTTCACATACATATTTCAAGGAAAAAAAATATTATCGATGTAAGTATACATTCAGACAGACAAACCATCTTGTAGTAATATTCAAGAAAAAAAAAATTACAAATGTAATATAGTATTAAGAAAAAGAAAAAAAAGAAAAGAAAATAGAAAAACGACACACATAAAACACCGTAGCTATCAAATATGGAATGTGAAATTCAGAGCTTAATTAGGACCACTGTTGTTTGATTTTGTTTTCTTAGCCGCCAGAGCATGTTTGACAGAAGTGCCACTGAAACCGCAGATCGACAACCTAGGCGAAGGACGTTCCAACCCCAGTGGCATCGGACGTGTAAATCCTCCTTCCGACCTGCTCCGTCGCATCACAGCATCCGATTCTTCGTTATTAAGCTTCAGTTTTTGCAACTCGCCCGACAACAAGTTGTCATGCCATACTAACCCCAACGAGCCTTGTCTCCTAAAGATGTTGTAGACCTTTGCAAAGTCGGCATCTCCCTCTCTCTCAATGATGTTATAAATTAAGTCGTAAATTTTTTTCTTTCAGCTTGAGATAAGTATTCACTGTGATAGTGTTTGCAACTCAGAAACACGAGCTTTTTTCTAAGGTTGCAAGGGAACTTGGAATGGAGAGAATAATTTATATGATAGCGAGAATGAGGGGGCTTTGGAGGGAAGACAAAATAGAGGAGTTTGGTTGAGGGTTGATGACGATAGTCCAAAGAAGATTCTTGAATACCTCGAGAATTGCATTGACTGTACTGACATGAAAAAGAGAGGGATTGACGAGGGACGAAAGAGTGGAACACTGTGGAAACTTCATATGGTGAGCAAATTTCTGGTGCGCAGATACTTCCCGATTATCTAGCGTGTTTTTTCTTAAGTAAATAGAAATTACATTGACAATATACTTTTTTAAACCAATCACGCATAAAGATTTTAGTAGGAGAAAACAGATTATACAAGTGTTTATATCTAATTTCACTTAAATCTCTATAAAATTTTTACATAATATAAGAAAATAATGAAAAATACGATAATTTTAACTCTTACATAATCCCAAAAAATATAGATCTTGACAATTAACAAAAAATATCACTTGAAAAAAATTAATTTTTTTTGTCATTTTTTAGATTTACTAAAAGAATATCTCTTAATTTAATATTATAGAAAACTAATAAATACCATAACTCATAAAAACCACCTGGCTGCAACAAAACCTCCATTAAAAACATGAGAGGATAAAAATCCTTATTAAAAAAAAAAAAAAAA